TGGGTGCGTGCACCACACTCGAGACCAACGCTCACGAATAACACTGGCAGATTGCTTCCCCGGGCCAGCCTGAGAAGCTAACCTGCAGCTCCCCACCTCCAGTTCTCAGACACCTGTCAACGACACCCAGAGTTAGCATGTGGCCCAAGAGCATCAGGTTCATGTAAACACTTTCCACAGGCAAACAAAGGTCCCTCCTCGTGCCCCAGGGTCCCTGGTGTTCTCCAGGGTGCACTGCACACAGGAGCAGGTGTGTGGCCTTGACAAGCACCAGGTCTCCAACTGCGGGGCTCTGCAGGGCTGGGTTCTTTGGGCCAGCATATTAGGTCCCCACAGAGCCGCAGACAGACCAACCAGCCAGCCGTGGAGAGGCTGGCTACACCATGTGGGGAAGGATGGGGAGGGCTGGCATAAGCGACTTCATAATTGCCCCACAGTTCTCTCACAGGCAGCCAGGGCCAAGACAAGCACGAGGGAGACTCTCCCCATGGTGGCCGGAGACCGCGCGGGACACCTGGCGAGCACGTCCAAGTCAAGCTCAGAGTCCGCACAGGGTCCTCACGCCTCCACAGATGGCTCCCTGTGCCCTTCCCGGTGTCCACTCAGCTTCCCGTTTTCTGCACAGCGCTCCCCCTTCAGTGTGATAAGAAGGTTGAAAAGGGGCCGAAGTAAGGGGAGTTGCCACGCCGCGCCATCCGGCTTGGGTCTTGCTCTGCTGTCATTTCTATCCAGCGTCTGTGGTGGCAAGTTGGTCCTGCCCCACTTCCGGAGATGTTGGCAGGCACACAGCACCAGGGCCACCCGAGCCACTGGAAGCTTCCCCTCCTGCACGCTGGGGTTCACCTGCAGCGAGTTCTCAGCTGCGGGCAGTTGTGCTCCCCTTAGAAGCCTGTATCAGCAACAAACACAGCCTTCTCACCACTACCCACAGCATGGCTGAAAACACACTTTTATCCTGGAAATCCTGTCTGATTTCTTAGCGTCTGAGATTCTAACTCACACCAATTCCACCTAAAAGACATATTTCTTCTGGCAGAAGAGTAAATTTTCCTGAGCTGTCAACACACAAAGCAATTCCCCGCTGTCCCCAGAAGGAGGAAGTGAGCCCCCTGCTCCCTCCACGCAGGCTGCTTTTCCAGTAAACCCACAGGACGAGCCCGTCCAGCCCAGGTGCTGTGCCTTCCCATCAATCTTCACACCTTTCCTGGATGCATGCCCAGCAGAGAATTAGTCTCTGAAGCCTGCAGGCTTCCTGACAAAGGGGAGATCTCTGGACTCTCACCAGGTGAACCAAGCGGGGCCCCGGTGCCGCTGGGGCGTGTCTGGACTCACTGGGTCCTTGCACCAACCCATTGGACCCAGTCGTCAATTGAAATGCAAGGCTTTAAAATGTGAGAAGAAAGTAATAAACCCACACATCAAGAATCCCCCCTTGATCAAGGGGAAAGTGGCCCAAACCACTCGCTAGACCTGACCTTCAGAAGGCTTTCTGATTGATGATGAATTATACAACTGGCGGCACCCGTGGGAGCGCTGCAATCTGATCGATCCATTCTGAAATCGATCAATCAAGAGCACAGGACTCAGTGCTCACTGCAGGCTTCCACAAACGTGCTACAGCGAAGTCCAAGCCTTCCAGCGCCTGGCAGCTTAATATGGCACATAAACATAAGTCACGGGAGCAAAAGATTCAAAAATAACCACGCAGACGTGTTCCACCCACGTACCAACAGCACACCCTGACTGTTTTCTAGTGAACGTCCACCGCTCTGCCACCTACGCCTCCACTGCCTCAGATACTCCTTCCAAATCAGAAAACAAAACAAAACAGCCAAAGTTGCTGGAGTGAAAACCTGACCTGAATGTGAGTGTGAACCCAAATGGCTGGAGGCAGTCGGGCCTCAGGGGACTGAGGTCGGCTGGGGAACGTAAGATCTGGAGGTGGATGGTGGTGGCGCTCACACCGCAGTGGTACTGTGCTCACTGCCACTGCACTGCACGCTTAAAAACAGGTGAGACATTGACTTTCATGTTACGTACGTTTTAACAAAATAAGATGCATTGGCTGGAAACAGAGAGGATGAGAAATCACTGTTATAATATTTTGCCAAATGAAGTGATCTCAGTCAGTTCATTCCACTGCTGCTAAAGAGAAAAAGCAACAAAATGCTATTTCTTTAATTAAGAATTTTCTTTTGGAAATTGACGTGGACGCCCTGCTTGTTTCAAATATTTCCTGATGCAAGAGAAACTGACGCACAATTTACCCAGGGACACTCACCTGGGTAAAGACCACAGACTTCATCACAGCCTAAAATGCCTTCCTGCAGTGTTCTGGCTGGGCACGCTGCTGACAAAATGTTCCTCTGCCTTACTGCATTTACCCGAGCTCAGAGAGCCCTCGGTTGCATAGATGGATGCTGTCAGTTTCTGGACACAGCCCTGGAAGACTGAAGCCATCGCACCGCTTGGTCGTGTCTCGCCTGAGCGCCTGACCCCAGTGCCTGCTTGCTGAGTACATTCCCGACACGGGCCAGACACACAGAGAAGGAAACGGCAGGCTGGGAATTCAAGCAGGAAACATCCCGAAGCTGTCTGGGCTCTGTAAGGGTGAAGAATGGGCAAAATTAGCCTCCAAGCCCCGCCAGCTCCCCTCCACCATGAAACCAATCGTTAAGGAGGAGCTGGTGGTGGGAAGCGTCCTCCACAAAGCAGAAGAGAGGGACGCGCCTTCGCACAGATTCTAAGACATGTGACCCGAGCCCACGGAGGGAGATGAGGCCCTGGGCGGCGTCAGGGAGGGTCCCGTGGCCGGACGGGACACGGGAGAGGCCTGGGAGGAGGGCGGGTACGTGTCCTGGCACCTCAGGGGAGGCGTTCACAGCCAAGGCCATCCGACAAGCAAAAGGGCAGCGTGGGTGAGTGTGGGCCCAGACTGGACCTCAGCAGGCCATAAGGTTGAGAACAGGAGGGACTGGACCAGGCGGAGCTTGCCAGGGGCCATCTGTTTTTTCTCCGTGGAGCCTTCCAGGACCACATGGATGTACCTCCTTCCCCCCGCGGCCCCGGGGACCACATTGGGCACCTGTGCTTTACCACTGGCCGCAAACAGCAAACGCAGGGTGCACCGTGGGAGAGGCGTCTCTCCAGAGAATCTCGAGGGGCAGCAGAGGCATTCTGTGTGATTCCTGTGACCCAGTTCCTCGTAGACAGTGGGATCCACAGTGTGGCTGGCCTCCAGGTCCCTGGGAGGTCTGACTTCAGAGTCCAGGCTCTGAAACCACAGGACTCCCTCCTGCCACCGTTCACTGTGAAGTCTGACACCCTCAGGCCACAGACTGGCCTAATGCAGCCTCCAGTCGTAACAGGAAGACCAATGTATGTTCATAGGTTACCTAAGAGGAATAAACAGACCATTGTTTCCGAAACACAGTGCCCTATCTGGTAAATGCCTCATAAGAGTAAAACAGAGTCCAAAAGTTAGACTGTGCACAGAATTTAGTCCTCTTTATTCCTTGCCTTTCAGGATTATCTAATTAGTTTTAAATATTTATATTTAGTTGATTTCATTTATATAAATAGGTTATACTTATTTTAACTTAATGCAGTTAAAAATAATAATCAGTCTAACAAGGTTTGTCAAAACACGGGCCTAGGCATAGCTGTTGAAAGTGTGAATCACTACAACTTTCTGAGGGGCGACCTTTTCAGTGTACACAAGCAAGTCACCTTTTGTGTCTGTTTTCTAAAGACATATGAACACATTTAGCTGTAGTAGCAAGTGTGACCATTCAGGCTGGGTCGGGAGATAATACAGACCCACGACTTAACAAAGAGAACTTGACATAAATCGTCACTAGCCGTGTGTTCAAGGACTGAAAAGAAAGAATGCCGAGGTGCTCACTGGGTGAGCTGGTGCAGGAAGAGGAAGGAGCAGGCTGGTGCTGCCACGGACTCCCTGGCAGGAAAGACACAGGCAGCCAAGAGCGGGGCCGGGGCGGGGGTGGCTGAGCGAGGAGTCACCCCGTGGGCAGCACCACAGGGATCAAGGACTCTCATCCAAGCCTCGATTGATAAACTGTTACGTGCACCAAAAAAGATTGAACATCCACTTCACCATGAGCCAAGGTAGGGGACAGAGCCAGAGGACAGCAGGCACCCAACGCTGAGCACAGAGCACAGGTTACCCGTGTGACGTGGAGTGGCTGTGTCCCCACCCAAATCTCATCTCGAATTGTAATCCCCACGTGTTGAGAGGGGCGGTGACTGGGTCCTGGGGGCAGCTTCCCCCATGCTGTTCTCGTGGTAATGAGTAAGTTCTCACGAGATCTGATGCTTTCATGAGCATCTGGCATTTCCCTTATTTGTGCTTCTCTCCCCTGCCGCTGTGGAAGAAGCTCCTTGCTTTCCCTTCGCCTTCCACCGTGATCGTGAGTTTCCTGAGGCCTCCACAGCCATGCGGAACTGTGAGTCAATCAGGCCTCTTTCGTTTATAAATCACCCAGTCTCGGCCGTTTCTTCATAGCAGTGTGAAAACAGGCTAATGCACTGTGTGTTGTGTAATTTCATTTTAAAATATAGGACCCCCAAAAGATAAAAATGGGCTCCAAACAGGGCTGTTAGAAATGCAACTCTGGAAGGTAAGATTTTGAAAACTGTTTCTTTTTCTTTCATTTTTTTCCAATTGTTCTGTAATAAGCATGTATTGCTTTTGTAATGGCAAGAAAACAGTACTTTTCTTTTGTAATAAATCAAGTTACAAATGTATGAGCAAACAGGCAAGTCTAGTTCACATTTAGGGTTGGGGTTGGGAATCCCGTGTGTTCATGTCACATAGCAAGGACAAACCCGGCTCCCAACACCCTTCCCACTGCAGTTCCAGCTGACACTCCCAGAAAACACCTTACTGCGGGGGCACTGCAAGTAGAACGCTTTCCGGTGACGGTGAACATCGGTGAGCACACGAACACGCTCTTCCTCTGGAGTCCGCATGCTTGGTTTCCCGGCCCCCTGAGGTCCTGTTTTGTGTTTTATTCACCATTCTTTGAAATCTTGATGGGGTCTGTTTAAACGTCCCTCTTTCTTTTTCTTAAGAAAATGTCAGACTCTTCTCACTTACTGCGTTTATTGTTGACCCACTTATTTAAACTCCTCCTTTTTACATGGGGACTTAATGAAGTTGGCATTGGTGTGTACGTTTACCAATGTACGATTAAATTGCCTGAAATGGTCACTATTCAACCCTTTTTTTTTTTTTGACAGTCTCGCTCTGTTGCCCAGGCTGGAGTACAATGGTGCCATCTCGGCTCACTGCAGCCTCCACCTCCCTGGTTCAAGTGATTCTCCTGCCTCAGCCTCCTGAGCAGGTGGAATTACAGGTGCTTGCTACCACACCTAGTTAATGTTTGCGTTTTTATTAGAGACAGTGTTTCGCCATGTTGGCTAGGCTGGTCTTGAACTCCTGACCTCAAGTAATCCTCCCCCCTCGGCCTTTCAAAGTGCTGGGATTACAGGCACAAGCCACTGCCTCCAGCCTACTCTACCTTGTTAAATTTAAAAACAATAATAAATAAACCAGCAACTTCACATGGTTCAATCCTTTATAAAATACTTGTTGGATACCGAAACACATTCTGTAAAATTAATTTGGATTTTATTTTCCATTCAACTTTTAATTGACAGATCATGCAGAATTCCATCTGGCATGGTGTACAATGTGATGTATTGATACATGTTTACATCGCGGGATAATTAAATCAATCTGATTAACATATTCACCACCTCACATACTTACTGATTTTGTGGTAAGAACATTGAAAATCTACTCTTTTAGCTATTATGAAATATATAATGCATTATTATTCCTCGTTGGAATTTTACTATGTGTTGGGCAGATTCTGGTTATAATGCTGGAATGGATTTAGGTTTTACATGGATAACTTTTAGATCACGTTTACCTGTAAACACTTTCATCTTTCATCCAAATTTTTGTTTTACTTTCCCCTGGTCCTCCACAAAGCATGACTCTGACATCCTTTCTTCACATCAGGAAATACTTTACACGCATTTCTGTTTACATTCTCCAATGGTTGTAATTATAAATTCTATTAAAGTGCTTTCAGAAACTTTAAAATATCTTACAAACATAATCATATGTGTGCTTAGTATCATTTAAAAAGAAAAGGAATCATATTTTCCCAATGAAACCTAAAATCTCTATTTCCTAAAATATTCTTTTTTTTTTTTTTTTGAGACGGAGTTTCACTCATGTTACCCAGGCTGGAGTGCAATGGCGTGATCTCGGCTCACCGCAACCTCCGCCTCCTGGGTTCAGGCAATTCTCCTGCCTCAGCCTCCTGAGTAGCTGGGATTACAGGCACGCACCACCATGCCCAGCTAATTTTTTTTATTTTTAATAGAGACGGGGTTTCACCATGTTGACCAGGATGGTCTCGATCTCTTGACCTCGTGATCCACCCGCCTCGGCCTCCCAAAGTGCTGGGATTACAGGCTTGAGCCACCGCGCCCGGCAAATATTCTTATACAATTTTTTTCTTAAATACAATTCATTAAAATAGTATTGTTATTATTTTATTGCATACTGAGTTACTACATATTTGGATATCCTCTCTTATCTCACAGTTTTAGCTAAAACTGGTTAGTAATTGTGAATCTTGTCTTTTCCCTTAGCTCCACATTCCTTCCGGCATATGCTGGAAATTTTCTGTTATCTTCAGCATCTTCGATCTGTGTCGACAGAATGCTGAATGTGGGTGTGAAGCTTAAATGCAATACGATGTAATTGAAATGAGACAGGCTTTTTGTTTTCTTCAGTGAGAAGCATGTGACTAGCACTAGCTAATACAATCTAAGTAGTTACAAGCTGCCTAACATTGTTCTAGTTGCTTCATGTCTGAGCTCCTGTGTTTCTGCAATTTTTGTTGGAGATAACAATCGTTAGTACCCTCATTGTGCAAATAATGAAACTGATGCAGAGACAGCAAGTAAGTAGCCAAAGGTCACACCTAATCTGTGTTTAACTGGTAAAGTGAAGAAAAAAGCAAGGTTCGCCTCACCCTCATTACCAAGGATGCCGCAGTGCAAGTGTGTGTTGCGGGGTGCTGGTGCGGAAAAGGATGGCAGCCACCGTAACCAGATCCCTGCCCACATCCTGGGAAAGCAGGTGGCGAAGGGGCACAGAGGGCCACAGTCCCTTTGCCTGGACCCTCAGGACCAGCGGGCCAGTCCTACCTGAGTCTCAGCTGCACCCTCTGGCTCTTAGAAGTCTTGGGCTGCATTAAAAAAAAAATGCAAGTTCATACACTTTCTGAAATGGCTACAACCAAACAGACAGACAACACCCAGAGCTGGCGGATGTGGACGGACAGGGGCTCCCGTGCTGCTGGCCACATATGCAATGCGCAGCCACCCGGAAACAGGAAGCGTCTGTCTACCCTATGAACCAGCCCCTCCACCCCAAGGTATTCACCCACTTCCAAGACAAATGGAAACACAGTCCACAAAACGTCGCTTACAAAAAGAATCAGGGAAGTTCATTTGTAATAGTGACACACCAGAAATAACACAACTGCCCATCGGCTGGTCAGGAGACAAAAGAGGTTGCAGAATCACCATCTAAAGGAGGGAATAATGATTCCTGTAAGCTGGACAAATGTCAAAGATCACACTAAGCCAAAGAAGCCAAAAACGAAGGGACTCACGCTGTATGATTCCTTCCATACAAGGTTCTGGAACAGGCAGAGCTAACTTAGGGTGCTAGAAATCCCAATAGCAAATGCTTGGGGACCTGGCCAGAGAAAATGCATGAGTTATAGAAATGCTCTTCCCTGATCCCATCCATGTGTGAGTCACACGTGTGTGTACAACAGTCAGAGCTCATTAGTTGCACATGTGTGTACAACAGTCAGAGCTCATTAGTGAGTCACACGGGTGTGTACAACAGTCAGCTGATTAGTGAGTCACACGGGTGTGTACAACAGTCAGCTGATTAGTGAGTCACACGGGTGTGTACAACAGTCAAAGCTCATTAGACAGTATCCTTATGATCTGCTTATTTCACTGTGTGCTTAAAGAAAGAAACAAACGGATCACAAATATGCAGAATTTATGATCCAGCAATTCCACTTCCGGGTATATCCAACCAAAAGAAACGCACAAGTGTCAGAGCCGCGCTCTGCAACAGCCAAAAGAGGAAACAGCTGGGTCCTGTGTTAGCAGCAGGGTGGATAAACTGTCGCTATATCCACAGGAATATAGTACTATCCATTCAGCTACTAAGCTGTAACCACATCCCTTGGAAGTTGCATTTTCTTTTCGTGCAGCCCAAGACCTCTAAGAGCCAGAGGGTGCAGCCGAGACTCAGGTAGGACTGGCCCGCTGGTCCTGAGGGTCCAGGCAAAGGGACTGTGGCCCTCTGTGTCCCTTGGATATGGTTACAGTTTATCCATTCTGCTACTACATGCAGTGGTAAAAGCGAACCAATTGCTGCTACATTCATACATAATATTGAACCAAAGAAGCCAGACACAAAAGACACGTGGTGCCATTCATACAAAACTCACCAAGGGGCCAGCTAACCTGCGAAGTCACATGGTGGGACATGTCAGGAGGTGGTGGGGGCAGTGACAGGAAGGAATGCACCAGGAAGATGTGAGTGACAAGTATGTGCCTACCTGCTAACGGGTGTCTCCATGTGTCAGAATTCTGTCTGCAGCCTGCTAGCAGGTTCTGGAAAGACGCCGACACCCTTCCCCTCCCTCCTGTTATTCTTGGAACTGAGGTCTCCTGGACAGAGCCTGGCGAATGGTAATAGGCAGGTGGGCTGGGTCCGTGTGCGACACCAGCCTGCTGTTTTCTGCCTGTTTGCCTGTTTTGTTTGTGCTTATGAGTTCTCTGTCAAGACTGTACCTTGGACATTTGAGGACTCACTGCTGGGGGAAATGAAGGCGTGAAAACTCTCTGAGTCTTCCTTTGCTATCAAGTCAAGAACTAAATTACAGGGAGATCCTGAGAAAATCAATGTCATCCATGCCCATTTGAATAGTTCGCCACATAGGGTAAGTAAAAACAAAACAAACAAAGGACAGTAAGACCCACAAGTCCTCTTTTGAAGTCTTTCGTTTTATATTTTTTTTTCCAGGTAATTTGCAGATTGCAGTCTCACCCTTTGAAAGCAGCTGGGTGCTTCTGTATATTCTTTTCACTGAAGGCAGCCGTGTGCACGTCTGCAGAGCACTCTGAGCCTTATGTCTACATGTACGGTCTTGGCTTTATTCTTTACCTTTGCCCTAAGAGATATGTATTGCTTGGAGCAGTTACATAGCAATTATTATCAATTTTGTTGTGTAATTGTAGACAGGTCTCCTAACGTCTAAATTGCTTATTTCCTCAGTCAATCAGCAGGGTTTGAATGCAGAAGCCATGTAAGGCCACAGGACAGTTACAGACAGTGAGGAACAGTGAGCATCCCTCTCCCATTCACTGGGAGCCGCCTGCGCCAGCACCCCCCACCTCAGGACCCCAGCGAGGATGTGCACCTAACAACGGTGGAGTTCGAACTAAAGGGTGAGTGACTACACACCATCAATGTTCCCGAATCCCTTAGTTCAGAGGTAGAGAGCGTTCACGTAACTGCTTCTTTTAATTATATGGTCTAAAGCATGCATGAGAAGAATCAGCAAACTCCCATCCTAGGCGACACGGTGTGGGTCTGTGTCCCCGCCCAAATCTCATGTTCAGCTGTCACCCCCGTGTTGGAGGCGGGGCCTGGCGGGAGGAGGTGGATCACAGGGTTGGATCCTCCATGAATGCCTTACCGCCATCCCCTCCTGCTGTTCTCGTGAGGGCGTTCTCAGGAAATCCGGCTGTTTAAGGTGTGTGGCACCTGCTACCTCCCTCTGGGTCCTGCTCGGGCTTTGCCTTCCGCCATGAATGAACGCTCCGCAAAGCCTCCCTAGAAGCAGATGCCCCATGCTTCCTGCATAGCCTGTGGATTAAACCTCTTCTTTTCCTCTTAAACTAAACCTCTTTTCCTTACAAATTACCCAGCCTCAGGCACTCCTTCGTAGCAAAGCGAGACTGGACTAATACACCCGGTACAGGCCAACAGCTATAACAAATATTCATGTAATTATTTAACAGTTACACTTATACAATTATATAACTTTCCCAAAAATTTCTTATTTCTGAAAGATTAAAGTGTACCCTCACTTTGCAGTCATTACTGAGTGTCTGTTAGTGGTATTGCAGTTTATATCAAATGAAGGTGGTGGAAACACCTGTGTGCTACTTCCGGGACTGGCTGCCCCCGCGGGGTGTGTGTGCGTCTGGGAGTGAACGCATGTTCTGTGCCGCTCCTAGAGCTGCTGGGGCCACTGGAAAGCACTGCCCTCCCCGGCCTAAGTGTCAACACTCATTTTTATTTCCATGAACTTCAATAAGCTCCTTGCTAAAATGCATCCTTCACATGTAAAGAAATTGTATCTCCTGTAATTTAATTTCCTCTCAATCACTTAGGGTCCTCACGCTGAACAAGATTTTGCTACTAATTTTTATTGCTGGTGACCTCACATACTACCAAGATTGTCCCCTCGCCTTGAGTGGCCACGAATTTCTTCTATTTCATGTTATTTTTGACGACCTCTCCTGTAACTTTAATACAGAGCTCTTAAATACCAATAATAAATATCTCAAGTAAATTTTTGGCAAACATTTGAACAGATAATTCCAGAAAAGGTGTACAAATATATAACACGCATTTAAAAAGTTCAATAATCCATGAGAGTGACCCTTCCTTTCTTGAGGGAAGCTTCTTTGAAGTTTGGTGGAACTTCTTGAGCAAATGCCCCATCTTTCTGCTGCTCTCTAGAGACAAGATAATGGCAGGTATGACTCCCACATCTTTCAATCTGCAGCTTATACTGAAATATAAGTATGTAAAATTCATCAGTCACCCGTAAACATGAAGCTACATTAGAAAACTCATACAAAAGAAATGGTGTAAATATGACTTCAGACTTAGTAAATCATCCCTTTAGTTTTGCAAAACAAAATAAAACATCACTGTGTTTAAAATCCATATTATATCCAACGTGGGGCACATCAGACAACTGAAACGTCACCAGCCACAAGCAGCCCGTGAAGAAGCGGGTTCGCTGGGCCTCCTGCTGGCAGGGGTGCACGGCGCTTCCATCTCTGAGTACATTTTCACAGCTTGTACCATTCACAGGTCACCGTCTCAAGGCGGAGCTCTCATTCCCGTTCGTAAGCAGGTGGTTGGAATCATCTGGAGCTGTGAATTACACAACCCGATGGCGCTGCGCTCTCCCTACAGGGAGGCGACTCCATTGTTCTCAATGGCAGAACTGCCACAACAGAGCTCCATGCCTGGGAACCAAACAGAGACACAGCCAGTGAAATTAACGGCCACCACCTGAGCTGTAGACACGCAGAAGTCCTACCAAGAAGTCTACAGGGCGGGGAAACGACGAGCTTCCAATAACATTTCACAAGATTCTTCTACAGATAAAGGAAAAGCATCTGCTGACCGACGATCGTAGGCAGTACCTAACAGCCTCATCCCAGCTGGCCTTTAGCAGTAATATCATTATGAACGTCATACAGCTGCTTCGGCATGCAGAGAAGTCGCGTGTATTTGCCACAACTTTAATAAAACCAAACAAGCCACTGCAGTGTTTACCCAGTTTTAGATGAGGAATGCCTACAACCTTCCCCACTTTAAAATTTCCCTTGACGACTCACCGATGCGAGGCCTGAAGACAAAATGAAGTTGGTGGCTTTATTTTGTACTTCAAGGAGAGTCGCTAATTTTTAAAGTTTTGATTTAATGACACAGATAATTCTTATAGAAAAGTGAAAATACAGTAAGAAAGCAATTTACCTCTAATCGCTTTACCCATATAACAACTATTAACATTGTAATTGTATAATGTTTCACATCTTTATATGCACAAAATACACACACACACATGCACACACCACACACACACACACACACATTTTTAATGGAGTCAGTGTTTTCTAATCTGTTTTTTTTTGTCCTAACAAAATATTATGAACAATTTTCCATGTCAGCAATATCCCTGTAGTTTAGTGAGTGGCACCTGAGATTCCGGAGTGAGTGAGCAGCGTGAGGATGGAGGAGACGGGCCGGCAGCAAGGCTGCCGGATTAAGGCCGGTCCAGGCACGCAAGCATCGTGCAATGGTGATGGCCGGTCCCAGCCACAGGGACGGGGGGTCCATTCAGTCAGCGGCACAGTGCCAGAATCATCAACCGCTCTGGAAAGATTCTGGACTCCCACATCACACCCCAGACAAAAATAAATTCTGGGTGAATGAGAGACATATATTTAATACTAGAACACTTGTAATATCAGATTAAAATTTATCAAAGTATTGCCTTCATGTTGAAATGGGAGAAAACTTTACGATAGGGCAGGAGTCATGAGAGACATTTTAAAAAGGAAAAAAAAAATAACTGCTGATACATCAAGGTTACCACAAAGCTGTGGAAAAAGATAGATTGGAGGAAAATCTGTGTAACCCACATGGCAGGTAGTAACCTGAATATACGAAAAGATTGCACAAATTAATAAGATTTTTAAAAATATAAAAAGATACATGTACACAATTGCCAGTGAAAAACACAAAACTTGCTGCTGTACACTTGGAAAGGTGCCCAAGCTCACCGCCAGTCACGGCGCCGCATGCTGAGTAAATACTGAGGTGCCATTTATTTACCACTCACATCGAGGGGAAAAAAAGTTGAAAAGCCATGCCATTGGTGTCAGCAACACACTGGGTGTGGTGTTAGCCCTATCACACGTGGCTTGTTATGGTAACAGCATTTTGAGAAATAATTGCACAACAGTAAAATAAAACTACGCATGCCCACTGACGTCAGAAATCCCATCTTGGAGAATGCAGCCTGTGGCAATGAAACCCACGCACTAAGGGTTGCGTGTGAGCTTCGTAGGGCTGCTACACACACTGGGAAAAAACCAACTGAACGCTCTTCAGTAGAAAAATGACTGAAGTACATCCACGTAAGAGAACACTTTATTCAGTTTTATTATTTTTTATTAAAATGTTTTCTTTTTATTTACTGCACAAATAAATTGATCAACAAGAAAGCAAATTAACCCAATGGAGAAAGTGACCCACAGGGAACTTACAACTAAATGTTTCCATTCTCTTATGCCTCGAAGTAGACCCTGCTGACAGGCATGCATGCTTTCCCTGTACTTACAGTCATCATGTAGTTACAATTTTACATGAACTTTTTTCTTCCTGGCACCTGGCATCTTATAAACATTTCTTCATTGCTACTTAGTATTCCAAATTATAACCGTAACAGTTATGCGATATGTAATAATTGACTAAATTCTGTACTTTAGGACCCTGTAATGATCATAAAAGCAAAGGCAGGGCGAAGGCCTGCTCCTCTGAGCCGCACTTGCTGTCCCCTCTGTGGAGTTTAAGCGGGGCATGAGAAGGGACGCATGCCTGATTATGTGAGCCTTGAAGACAGAGTCAAAGGTAGAGAGACAGGAAAGCAAACCTCACACCACACGGGTAATTTAGAAAATACAAACAGAAAATCAGTATTCAGAGAGAGATTCAAGAAGTGATTGCATCCACAAAATAAAAATTGTAAAATACGAACATGACCCAGAGGCTAACAAAGACCCATTAAAAGTTAAAAATATGATCAATAAAATAACAGAAGTGCTAGAAGCCAAAACTGAACAAAATATTCAAAAACAAAAAGATAAT